CAGACGCCTAGGAGAGAGGAGGCCGGTACAGTATTGCACAATGACGCCCGCAATATGTCTGGCACTCAAGTTATTGTAGTGACAGTCTGCAGAGCACAGCCGGTGAAATTTACAGCCCGCCATCCTCATTGACCCAAAATTCCTCCCGCTCATCCCTTTGTAAGCGATCCTGCTGTTTAATTATTCACGATGATCTTCTGTCACGTTACGCATGTACCTGTTACTCTTCTGTAAGTGATTCTAATCTATAATTCATGACGACCTGTGGTGATATAACAGTGGCGTCGGTGGCGCATTGGTTAGAACGTTAAACTCGGAACCGAAAAGGAGTGGAGCTTCATAATATAACGTCCATTGAACCAAAAGGTCCTGGGTTCTATACTCACCATGTCCCGACGTTGTGCCCTTGGGAAACGTCACTTTACATTACCTTTCACTGAGTGACGCCCACCTACCTACCTACCACTCCACCGCATATCAGCTACTGCTGACGCCCACCGAGCTACTCGTAATAATCGTATTTTTTGTATTATTGTATATATTGAGATATTAGGACATTAGTCTCCACCAGACTAACTACTGGCACATCAACATGGTGCGGTTATTCCTGGGGTTGGGTCTTCTGGCAATCTTAGGTAAGACAGTTTCTTTATTTCCATCAAAAACAAAAGTTGATTGCTGCCATTGACTGACACACACTGACTTAGTTAAAGGTTTGATATAATCCTAAATTTCGTCTCAAATTTCAGAGGGTTTTGATTAGCCTCTACCAGACTTCGGAAGGCGGCAGGAAAGAGCAAAAATTGGCCAAAAAAAGAGATAGCATGCCAGTCCACTGGCTGGAGAGTACTCGTACAGTTTCGGGTGCGGCAAACTGTGCAGACCAACTCCCCTGGCATGCTATCTCTCTATTTGGCCAATGTCTACTCTTTCCAGTCACCTCCCGAAGCCTGGTAGAGGCTAGGCTTTGATTACATCTCTTTATGACGATTGCAAATCAAAAGTCTATGTTGAAAAAGATGGAAAAAGATGTTTCCTAACGGAGCTTTTCTGTTCAAATTCTAGGGCTGCTGACAGGGGCAGAGGCACAAGGTAAGTCGTAGAAACTCAAATGTTCCTCAAAGAGCTTGAAAGATATGCCTCTAGCTGTCTTGCAAATAATTTCGTATATAGTATTACACTAACAATCAACTAACCTATACACAAATAGACCAATAGAGAATTTGTAGCTGAAGAGCTACTCCAGTGTGCTAAAGTTTAACATTGTGCCCTTTCCTCAATTCGCTCAGGTGAAAATGAGTTTGCCAGAATGATAATTATCAATAAAGAACTCTATTACATGTACCATGACCGTGGGCATTAAAAGAAAAACAAAAAAAAGGCTGTCATTCAATGTTTCTCCAGTCACCAGAGAAGTTGCCGAGGGATACTACTATCATACTAGTCAGGTAGTGACTAGTATGATAGTAGTATCATATACTAGTGTCATATAGGGATACCACTATCATACTAGTCTGGTAGTGACTAGTATGATAGTAGTATCATATACTAGTGTCATATAGGGATACTACTATCATACTAGTCTGGTAGTGACTAGTATGATAGTATTATCACATACTAGTGTCATATAGGGATACTACTATCATACTAGTTTGGTAGTGACTAGTATGATAGTAGTATCACATACTAGTGTCATATAGGGATACTACTATCATACTAGTCTGGTAGTGACTAGTATGATAGTAGTATCATATACTAGTATCATATAGGGATACTACTATCATACTAGTCTGGTAGTGACTAGTATGATAGTAGTATCATATACTAGTGTCATATAGGGATACTACTATCATACTAGTCTGGTAGTGACTAGTATGATAGTAGTATCACATACTAGTATCATATAGGGATACTACTAACATACTAGTCTGGTAGTGACTAGTATGATAGTAGTATCATATACTAGTATCATATAGGGATACTACTATCATACTAGTCTGGTAGTGACTAGTATGATAGTAGTATCATATACTAGTATCATATAGGGATACTACTATCATACTAGACTAGTATAGTCACTACCAGTGACTATACTTTAAACTTGTCTAACTATTCTACTTTTACCACCAAAAATCAACCGAAAGTAACTACCGTCTGTGTTCCAGCCTGTCCCGGTCGGTTTAAGGGGTTTAACGGGAAGTGTTACGGGTACTTCGGCGGCGGGAAGCCGGCCAGCTACCGGGAGGCCGCGCGGTTCTGTACCGGCCTGGGAGCTGAGATCTTCATGATGAGGGACGCTACAGAAGTGGCTCGTCTGAAACAACTGCTCAGCAAGTAAGTATGGTTTCTGGGCATTAAAACTGGATTTTCAAAGTAAAAATTCAGTCACCTAGTTACATGGTATGATTGAACAACACCATCCTAGTCCATGTCGACCTTCGTTGAGCAAAAGAGCGATGTCACATTAGATGCCTTTAAGTTTAATGGTTAACACCATGTGTTCTAGTCTGTCCGGCAAGTAAGTATCGCGTCTTTAAGCCTGGTTTGCCCAGCAGGTCGGTGTTTCGTCTTAAGATAATGTTAGGCAGATAGACCCACTGATCCTGGTCTAATGATGATTGTTTAAGGTAATTATTATACTAGTATGTTCCTATAGTCATGCCACAGGCAGAACCTAAAGAGCTTCTGGGTCGGCCTTATCGGCGACACCACCCCCGGCTCCTGGACATGGGCCGACGCCGACTCTAGGGACGATCGCAGACAGCATGTTACTACAATAACAACACTTTCATCCATGTTATAGGCAAAACCTGAAGAGTTTCTGGGTCGGCCTTACCGGCGAGAACACTCCCGGATCCTGGACCTGGTCCGACGGCGCGGCCCTTGCAGCGGGAGACTTCACGGCCTGGGACGGGGACAAGCTGTGCGCCTTCGCGCGGAAACAGAACGGCTACAGGTGGGGCGTCACAGGCTGCGGGGAGAAGAGAGCATTCATCTGTGTGAAGGACCCATAGGACTGTGTATCCAAGACGCTTATCATGCCCGTAGCCAGGGTTTTGCTTGGGGGTTCTTCCTACTCAGTCTACCTAAAATCAGAGACAAATAGGATTATACATACACGCATCCATATAATTATACATAAACACACACACACATATATATACATAAACCGTCCATAATAAGTCAACAATTGAATGTGTTTGTAATGGTTGTAATACCATTGTGCAACTTGTAGTTTTATTTTCATATGTTCTTACATGTATGTATGTATGTAAGAACAAACAATTCATCCTGTAGGCTGTCAGTTGTTCCCTTGCAATAAACCAATTGCAATGTTAAACTATATAAACTATAGGATATCGAGCAGAAGAGCTTATGTTAGCCCAGCTGCGCAGTAGTTGTTTGAGTATTGAAATAACTACGTTTATTTGCAAGTAACAATGGACTTGTTAAGTGGTAGTATATGCTCTATCTAGACAAGATGTGAAGCAAGAATGAAAGGAAGAAAAGCTGAAGAGTGAAGATAATTGTGTATCCAACTAAAACTGAAATGTAAAATCAATATTAATCTCTTTCGTGAAGACTAAGAGTGGCAATGAACTGCCCACTTTAGTCAATATGTATGTAGAATGACAAACTACAATGTAACTATGGAGTTAAGATTTAGCTACAGCCTGTAAATTAATGACCTACCCTATTTAATTTGATTTATCAAATTGTATATTAAACATATATACTTATCTGGTCCTATGAGCACAAAATGATAGATACCTAATGAATAAAGGAACCGAATGAAAAACAAGTTGATGGATGATATTTGTGTTAGCAACACAAGAGCACACAAAGTGCTCCACCCCTTATCCTTTGGTAATAATGGAACCTTCCAGTGGGAACTCCCCTTCCCAGACTCCCTTGCGAGGTACAAAAGGTGTGGCCACACCTGGGGACTTCCTCTTTTACTTCACACCAGGTAAAAGGTGGGTTCTTATAGGAACTAGATCACTATATATTCACTGTGTTGCTGCTCCATACCCATCAGTGTCGAGAACAATTACAGTAGTCTCTACCAGACTAACTACGCTGGCTATAGTATATATAGAAGAATATCTGTTTGGGAGTTTGGCCGCCTTGTATACACTATCAGGTGCAACAGCAAACTGTTTTAGATACGCGTGACACATACACAGAACATTATGTACGTTGTCAATGTTTAAGTGAAGCTTACAGGATTGGTGGAATCGACGCTGTGGTGGGCATAACAGGTAAATGTCGTTAACTAGTACAGTACACTTCCGGGTCTCCTTTCGTGAAAAAGCCCACATATTACAATTGGCTGGGGGTTTCTATTTAATGAACAGTCCTATCAGTTAATTACCTGATTGGAAAAGAGGGCCGAAACTATGGGGAATTTGAAAAATTACGCCGTTTGTAGTCTAGAATCTGCCACGTCATGTAGGGGAATCCCCGGCCTTGGGAAATCCCAGGTGCTGTAGGAGTGGCGGGTCAGGGGTCAATGGGCTGAACCAATATCATGGTAAACATACATGCTTTCATCGTTTTTTTCGCAGATCTTGTCAATGTATGGCAATCATATAATGTATAAGGCTGATTTAGGGAATTGAAAAAAATGCATCAGATTTAACAACATTGATTGTGCATAACTTCCCATATATATGTCATAAGTCAAAGGTATGTACTGTCATTATGAAAGCCACTTTTAGTATCCATCAGTACTTGCAGAGCATTTCCATGTAGCATTTGTATGTTAAAATAAAATTGAAAAAGGAAACCAATAAAACGAAGATGTGATAAACTTTAATTGGAAAATGTTTCATTGGACATTGTATTTTTCTTGTTATTTAGGTCACTGGCCTGGAGCACATGTCACCAGGGAAGTCAAAGGTCAAACATGTAGTATAATGATTTTAAACACAGTCGGTGTGGTAACAGACAGCTTAGTCTTTTGCATTGTGTGAACTATTGCCTACTCGGAGAACAGATTGTGAGCATACAAACAAACAAACAAACAAACAACAAACAAACAAACAAACAGGCATGGAAACGGCAAAGACCAAGCTGACAGCAGTGGCAGAAGAACTAAGTGAACTGGACAAGCGCTTCAGTGTTAACTAATGTTGTGTACATGTAGGCACTCGGGGAACAGATTGTGAGCACACAAACAAACAAACAAACAAACAAACAAACAAACAGGCATGAAAATGGCAAAGACCAAGCTATCAGCAGTATCAGCAGTTTACTAAGTAAACTGGACAAGCGCTTCAGTGTTAACTAATATTGTGTACATGTAGGTCTACACTCGGAGAACAGATTGTGAGCATACAAACACACAAACAAACAAACAAACAAATAGGCATGGAAACGGCAAAGACTAAGCTTTCAGCAGTGGCGAAGGAACTAAGTGATTTGGACAATATTAGTGTTAACTAATATTGTGTACTTGTAGGTACTCGGAGAACAGATTGTGAGCATACAAAAAAACAAACAAACAAACAAACAAACAGGCAAACAAACAGGCATGGAAACGGCAAAGACCAAGCTATCAGCAGTGGCGGAGGAACTGAGTGAACTGGACAAGCGCTTCAAAGATCCAGGTTCTGATCTAGCTGTAGTAGAGAGGGGGTACGCAAGGAAGTTAGTTCATGCCATCAGTAGTGAAAATAAGGTTTTGGAATGCGAAGCATTGAAAAGTCTCGGGGATCTGTTTCTGCACAAAGCAAAGATGAAGAAACACAAGAAAGAGAACTTCAACAAGGCCTGTGTGCTGTACACTGAGCTATCTAGATACTACACCAGTGAGGAAGAGAAACAGGTTATACAGCGTCGAGTCAGATATGCAGAGAAATGTACGAAGCTGGTACACAATGAAACCTATGCACACACAAAGGCCGAGGGTTCAGCCAACATCACATTGGCGGTGGCAGCGACACTTCAAGAAGTGAGAGTGAAGGTCAAGGCCAAAGAGCAGGCAACCTTAACTGAAGGTTATACACGCGCCTATGTTAAAGCAATAGTAGAGCGAAATAAGCGTCTACAGGTAGAGTCTTTGAAGAGCCTTGGAGACCTGTACCTGGAGAAGGGAAGGACTGGGAAGGACGAGGCAGTCTTCACCAGAGCAGCAGGCCTGTACCGAGCGGCGCTGGACCGCTGTGAAGATTCAGACGGCAGAGAAACACTGGAGCATCGCATCAAGTACGCGGAGAGAGTCAAGGAAAAACAACTGAAGGTGGGATAGTAGCCATTTCACATCCATAAAGGAGTGTGGAGATCACTACGGCCTTGTAGATCTTAAGCTTTGTGGACAGTTTTACTCCTCAATGCTGACGTACCTTGGCCCTCAACCTACCCAATGCCTGACTGGCTTTCCTAATTCTGCATGTGATTTCTGCCTTAGAACTAACAGCGTATCAAACCATATCCAGTTGCTTGAGTAATTGTTTTTTTGGCGTATCATTTAATAATGATCATCAGCTATTTCACTAGTAAGTTGCAGCCGACACTGGCCGTTTGGCATATATGTAGTAATCTTTAGGTGAATTTTGTATAGATGTTTTTACACCTATTCTATGTTATGCTCGACAGCATGCGAGACTACGCACGAAAAGGAAAGCTGGTGACGGCAGCGGGTCTAAGTCTTCTCAAGCTTCACGTCAAGCAGTCCGTGACGTCATCAGTCAAGGGTGCGTATTTGCATTCAGACTTTGTTAAGTGTTTCAAATTAACAGGTGCAGTAACAGGACTTCACACCCAAACATTGGTGATGAAACAAACTACTTAATTATTAACCATGCTTACATTCCCATATCAAAATACCAAAATATAACATTTTCGACATGTGCCAGAAAGATTTTATTGACTTTGTACATGTTTCAGATCCCACGTATGATAATGATCTTAATATTCTACAATAGATGTTTCATCTCAAAGACAATTGAAACTCGCCTTCAAAGAGCGGGGAACAGAAATAGAATTAACCCATTTCATATGTGCCATTAAAATCATCTAACATATTTGTTAACAGTACTTACAGAGACCACCTACAAGAGGGCTGCAAGGCTATGCAGACAGGGGACCTGAACACGGCAGAACGGCACTTTGCAACTGCGCTCAAGTCAGTCCATGTGAAAGGTGAGTTTTTAAGGGCCGAAAAGGAACGTTTGATTGTTTTTATAATAAGCTTGTTGATTTGATACGTGTGAAAAATCGTCTTCGTACTCAAAAAGCGCGATAATGTAATGAAGAGAGAGAGAGAAGTTAAAACTTCTTATCGATGATCACGAAATTAGTACGTCAAAGTCAAAGCTAACGATTGTTAACAGCTCACAGTGCTGCACAATACAGTACAGATGTTTGAGAGCAGTCAATTTAACTGGGATCACAAAAAAAGCAACAAGTCGGTTTAGAGCAGAATGATAATATCTACTTCTGACCATTGCTAGGCGCAGATGCAGACACAGGTCAACAGAATGCAAAAGAGGCAGAGCCCCTGTACAAGTTGAGCGATGTCTACCTAAAGAGAGGAATCCAGTCAAAAGACGGTGGTGACTTCACCAAGGCCGCAGCTCTCTGGAATGCAGCACTGGTAAGGACAAGTAAGGTAGACCGAAATAAAAAACAAGCGAATGTAGAAATAACCAAATCATTCATGAAGCGTGTGCTGCACAGCAATCAAACAGTGGATAAAGGAGAATCGGAGAAACACAAATTGCTGTTGAAGAAAACTCGACATCATGTACAAACGGAGATGAAAAGAATCGAACAAGAAGTGGATCCTTACAGCCTCGATGAAGATGACCCGAGGCTAAGAGAAGTGGAGAAAAGGAGAGCGGAAGAAATCAGAAAATTGTTTCACACAATTGTACATCAACGAAGAATGTTCATATCTGGCCTTGTAGATGGATGTATGGAGGTAATGGGTCCCCCTCCCTGTAAGTACGCCATGATGGGCCTGGGTTCACTGGCCACAGGGTTAGTAACCCCGTACTCTGATCTGGAGTTCGCCATCCTGATAGAGGAGGAAACAGAGAGTAACGTCGAGTATTTCCGCAACCTCACTCACTATCTGCATCTCAAAGTCATCAACCTCGGAGAAACCATCCTCCCGGCCATGGCGATCAAGTCACTGAACGATTTCCAGTCAAAAGATCCAACGAACAACTGGTTCTACGACTCTGTAACGCCGCGCGGGTTCGCGTTTGATGGGGCCATGCCGCATGCATGTAAGACCCCATTTGGAAGAGGTAAACAGTCAGGCCTCATCCAAACACCCAGTAACATGGCAAAGCTTCTGACAGACGACCTCACGCTATATCTCAAGAAAGGCTACCATCTTGCGAGTATACTGGGTAATGTGTGTTTGATCACTGGAGAGCAGGACTTGGTTGATGTCTACACAACTCTGTTGAGTCAACAACGTCAGGATACTGATGGTTTAATTTCAATGTTAGTAGCACACATCACGCTAAATGAGAATGCAGCAATGTTCAAACTCCAACCCCTAGACACCAGGCTGCTGGATGTAAAGAAACAAATGTATCGATTTGCAACTCTTGCAGTGTCGTGTTGGGCCCTACATCGTAACATACAGCCAACCACAATATGGGAGACCATAGAGAAAATGCACAAGAACGGAGTCATCAGCAGTGAGAACGCGCATCACTTGATGGTGCTGGTCAGCATCTCGGCAGAACTGAGGCTGCGGACATACATGAACAACCGTGGGCAAGTGGAAAACTTGTCAGTCTTGTCGTCAACCTCGGCAAATGCAGAAATTGGAGAGCAATTGAAGAAAGTGTTTCACTTCTCAAATGCGAAACAGCTTCTGCGATATTACTACACAGAAAGACCATTGAAGGTCTTCGTTTCGCAGCTCGTCAACAGTTTGTCGTCAGAACCATTGGCTCTATTCTCCAAGTCACCAATTATCCAAGCAGAGGTCTACACAAATTTATGTGCTTTCGAAAAAGCAAAGAACTGTCTGAATGAAGCACTAGAAAATGTGCAATCAGAACGCGGTGAAGGCAATGCACATCCTAAGACTGCCATCATGATACTCAACATGTTGGGTGGCGTTTGTGATAGCCTTGGTGATTACAGAGAGGCCGTTAGCTATCATGGGCAGGTACTGCAGATGCTGCGGAGGATCCATGGTGAAGACACTGCACATCGTGATATTGCCACGGCACTTGGCAGCTTAGGGGACACCTGGCGAAAACTTGCTGACTACAGAAAGGCCATGGACTATTTTGAACAGTCGCTACAAATGCGGCGAAGCATTTACGGCGACACTGCACACCCTGACATTTCCGAGTCACTTAGTAGCTTAGGTAATACTTTGATGAGCCTTGGTGAATACAAAAAGGCCGTAAACTATCACGAGAAGGCACGGCAGATGAACCAAAGTATCTATGGTGAGGACACTGCTCACCATAGGATTGCTATCACACTAGACGCACTGGCGTTTGCCTGCTGGAATCTCGGGAACCACAGAAAGGCCACCAGCTATCACGAACAGTCACTGAGGATAAAACAAAGCATCTATGGCAAGGATACTGCACATCTGGACATTGCCGGCACCCTTAACAACATGGCCGTAGTCTGGAGGGACGTTGGTGATTACAAAAGGGCTGAGAGCTGTTTCGAACAGTCTCTTCGGATACAACAAATAGTGTATGGCGAGAGAACCGCACATCCGTCCATTGCCGGCGTACTCTGCAACTTGGGTTCAGTTCAAAGGAGACTTTGTGATAACACAAAAGCCATCAGCTACTTGGATCAGGCACTGCAGATGCAAAGAAGGATCCATGGTGAGAAAACCGCACATCCAGACATTGCCACGTCACTTGCCAACTTGGGTGGCGTCTGGAGCGACCTTGGTGATTACAGAAAGTCAATAGAGTATAGGGAACAGGCACTGCAAATGGACCAGAGTACCTACGGCAGAGACACCCCACATCCCGACATTGCCACGTCACTTGGCGCCTTGGGTAACGCATGGGGTGAACTCGGCAACCACGAAAGGGCCATTAACTACCTCGAGCAGTCACTGCAGATGAAGCTAAAAACATACGGAGAGAACACTCCACATCCTGATATTGCCGACACGCTTGACAGCTTGGGCGTCGAATGGAGTGACTGTGGTGATCACAGAAAGGCCCTCAGCTATCATGAGCAGTCTCTGCAGATGAAGCGGGATATCTATGGGAAGCCACATACTGACATCGCCGCCTCACTTAACAACTTGGGTAACGCCTGGAGTGACCTCGGTGACCATAAAATGGCCGTCGATTTTTACGAGCAATCACTAGAAATGAGGAGGAGCATTTTCGGTAAAGATACAGCACATTGTGATACTGCAAACTCACTTAAGAACTTAGGTATTGAATTGATGGACATGGGTGATCCGAGAAATGCTCTCAGCTTATTGCAACAATCACTAGAGATGGAGCAGAGTATCTATGGTAAAGATGCTGCACATCCTGACATCGCCAAGACACTGGACGGCTTGGGTGCCGTTTGGAACAACCTCGGTGATCACAGGAAGGCTGTCAGCTATCATGAACAGTCTCTACAGATGAGGTGGGATGTCTATGGTAAGTGCAATGCACATCCTGACCTCGCCGCGTCATTTAGAAACTTGTGTGTCACTTGGAGGGACATCGGTGATCTGGGAAAGGCCATGATGTATTTTGAACAGGCACGAGAGATGCAGAACTCCACTCACTGATGGAGGAAAGGGACGAGTGGAGAAGAACACATTGTATCCCGTGATGACATTCTCGATGTCGCCGTTCAAGGTTTAAGGAGTGTCTTTGGAAAGAATACTGCACATCATCACGTTGCCGACACACTTAACGACTTGGGTGCTGCGTGGAGAGACCTTATTGGTTAGAGAAAGCCGAAAGGTTGTCACTATGCTGAACATTCACTGCAGATGGAGTATCTATGATGAGAACACTGAACATCCTCGCATCCTCAGATCACTGAATGCTTTGAACGTGACCTGTAGAGAGCTTGGTGGTGACATATAGAAGCTAGCATTTGTTAAGGACACATGAAACAAGTTATCCGAGCAAGGAACTGCGTTTGGTAGCCTGTAATTCTGGACAATTCCGCATGGAGCGCTTCTGACTTAGTTTCTATTCTCGCCAAAGTGTTCTTCTTTCTAGCTGTGGACTAATCAGTGAATATCCGATTTACAGACTCGCTCAGAAACACGTATCCATGAGATAGATGAAGTTACTTTGATATCCATCGGTGATACATTATGGGGTAATAAAAGTATAGCAAAAATAGGTTATAACGTCATACATCGCAGTGTATTATAGAGACGAAGGTACTGGTATATTTCCAGTTGGAGTGGGCAGCAGACGTTGCTGTCAATATTGCTGTTATTTAGTTGTTATTATTTTTATGTGTAGGTTAGTCTCCTATAGTTTTTGTTGTCATATATATGTCGTAGCTGTGCAATAAATTTTACATAACCACCTAGCCTGTTTTGTTATTTCTCAAAACAAAAATCCATAACGGCAAAGCAACCCTGAGCTGGAAGCAGATATTTGGGTCACTATATGCTACGGTCAAACATTTTTTTCATATCCCAACATTTCATGACTTAAGACATGGTGACAGAACACGCAAGTTATAACAACTTCTTTTATGCCACCACCAACGCAGAGGACGAATATAGGACAGGACAATGCTCATTTTCACTTGAGCTAAGTGGGGATAGTCGTGTAAAGTGCCTTTCCCAAGGACACAGGATCGGTGGCATGTCAGGACTCGAACCCGGGGCCTCTTGGTTCCAAGTCGAGAACGCTGCCGCTACGCTACACGACGTCAAACATTGTGAGCTAGGATTCCATTGAAAAATCAATGCTCTATCAGAATAGGTTGGTGGAACGCGTTGACAGAAGGTTTTTCTCAGCCAAGCTTTGGGTTGTAAAAAAGATGACGTCAGCCGAAGGTGGCGTGACTCGGCTGTTCTCGTCAGTATCGTCTGATTTACTGACGAGGGGCAAACCTGACAGAAGTGTCATGCGCGAAGGTTCGGGTTCAGGCCTCGTAACCGTAACTCCCGGAGAAGGGACACAGCTGGTCATGACGTCATGTCCGCGGTGCATGACGGTCTGGCGCCTTGCCTGCGATTGATCGTCCGCCATGTTGGTCCGCAAGGTCACCTTGTAAATGGAAGGACATGACATTCCAGGAGTTTAGGAAAACAGCCGGTGCAACCATTGCTTAGTAATGAAAGCTACTGAGACTGCTATGATGAAATTATATCATTTTGTTTGGTATTCATAGTGGATGGTGGACGGACGATTTTTTTTCAAATATTTTAAACTATACACCAAGGAACGCCAAAAAAGACTAGCAACTGGATATAATTTTGAAAACGGTCAGACGTTTCAGGTAGCATCCACTTCCTTTGGTCAGTGACACAAGAGAGTTGTCAGAAAGGCAGGTTTTATATAAGCACGAACTATTGATTGATACACCAACTTGAAGGAGATTTTAAACCTCCTTACATGCACCCAACAAAAGAGTTGTGGCTACTCTTGGGGGGGGGGCTTTCGACACGCACTCAATTCGATTTTAGACGTATAGAAAGCTAGCAATAATGATTTCCGTCCGTCGAATGGACGACGAGAAAGAAATTGGCACAGCGCTCCAGGTTCAGTCCTAGGGCCGGAACTTCTTTAGAGATGTTACAGCTGGCTATGACGTCATGTGCATGACGTATGGCGGCCTGGCGCCAGGCCTGGACCTGATTGTCCGCCATGTTGGTCCCCAAGGTCACTGTCTACAGGAAGGTCATATATCATGTAAGATGGCGACCGGTCGGGAAGCCGTCAAGTACTCTGCGTAATAATTACAAACAGCTGGGGTGTAGCGTAACAAAACAATTTAAACTCATTTAAAAGTCATTACAGATTAGGTTGATAATTTGAACTGCTCATAGATAGATGAAACCAGACACACAGACTAGCAACTGCCACAATGTATTTTTTCCTGGCCTGGTAAAACGTTTGACAAGCTATATTTAAACCTTGCGCCTTGTCAGGACAATTAATTATAAGATGTAAAAACTGATTATTGAAAGTTGCTCTGAACCTTGTCAAGTTCAAGATTGCGGCGTTCCACCCTGTGGGTCGGGAACCTTAAGGTCATGACGTCACGATCAACCTCGCACAATGTGACGTCATCACCATACCGTGTCAACAATACGTGGTTTGGTCCGGATACATTACTGCTTTTTATTTCATTTATTCTTTAATTCAGGCCCCTGGTCTATATGCAAACAGATTAACAAGAAATTGAAAAATGGCAACAAACACAAAGAAAATCAAACAATACCAAAAATTAAAACTACTTTTTACAAACCAGGTTGACATAATGTCTCATTTTGATTTCTATATGAATGACATCCGAGCGCGCATGGGTTTTCGGCCGTTTCCAAAAAAAGTAAGGTTTTAACCATACTGTAAATCGTACAAAACAGTTGCAAAATGAGCAAATATACTAGCATACCGTAAGTTGCAAAAAAAATGAGAATGATACCAATGTCGTAGAATGTCAAATTCAAACGAAAAAGACGAAATGTAAAGAAAAGAATTTGAAGAGTAGATTATTCGCCATACCATACTCCTTGTCATGACCGCATAGATTTCATAATGAAAGCAACTTTTTTTTCAAATTATTTTTTATTCGCACGCTCGCGTCAGTTTTGGGGTTCCCACAGGATATCATCCCTATAATTAAATCAACATGGCCTTACTGCAAGATTGAAGTCGTTGAGCCCAGAAGTATGCCCGGCCTGTGGTTATCTGTCTGTAGATCCACGTGACCGCCGGGCATGGGCGAAGGGCTTTGAAGTTCACCGACACACAAGGCTGCTCAGGGCTCGCCTCAAAACTTCACACAGTTATTCCGCTACTCCTGTCCAGAGATCACCTCAAAACTTCACACGCTTAAGTCCTATTCTTCTGTTCTATCCGTCTGTTCTATTCTTCTGTTCTATCCGTCTGTTCTATTCTTCTGTTCTATCCGTCTGTTCTATTCTTCTGTTCTATCCGTCTGTTCTATCCGTCGACTGTATTCCTGCCCAGGGCTCGCCTCAAAACTTCACACGCTTTTATCCCACAACGGCGAAAAAAAGAGTCTAGCTTGCTTCTTCACACACGCACAAAAATACACCCGCAAGCCTGGTCTCAACACTTAGATATTCACTACAGAAGTCAGCTACGCCTTCGAGGGCTCGTCTCAAAACTTCAGGTACTTATCTACAGCGGCAAAAAAAGAGGCCTGTTTCTTCTGTTGAATCAAAGGACTCAAAACTTTGTAATCAGGTGGATTGCGAGTCTGGAACGGTTTCCTTTGAAGTCAGAACAAACAAAACTTGCCGCATCTCCAAATCCGCGCTCCTGTGATGTTCAGTACAGCTATCATTACCTCCCCACACGTGGCCGCTAACCGGCATCCTCAAATAAGAGTAGATTAGTCAGAACATTCTTATAGAAAATGCTGAAAGTTTTGTCCCCCTTTTTCTTTTCAGGGATCAAAGCTTGATACTTAAGCATGGTGGTCTCTTCTTTGACTCCCCAGAAATGATCACAAATAGGATATTCAACATGGTTTTGTGGCAATTCAAGGTGACATTTGCTCTCTCAAGCGTTACTTTGTGTAGCGAACCCTGGAAGAGAGAGACCTAAGCCTACTTTATTTCTAAAAGTAGACGACACAACAGTTGTTTGAGACTAACCATTGAAACGACCAAGGGCATCTTGTTACAATGGCACATTGGACTTTTGCATGAAGGAACACATCACATCACGTTGCCTTGGTAACGAGGGTTGGCATGCCAACCCGGGGTTAACTGGAGGCATGGAGCAAAGGTATGTTCTTGGATACACGTAAACTATCCAGAACCGTGCCTGGTCCTATCCCTAACCCATTCAGGCACAGAACTAGATAGGCAGGGCTCTGGATACAATAGAGACTATCCAGAACTGTGCCTGATCCTAACCCTAACCCATTCAGGCAATTGGAACTACACAGGCAGGGTTCTGGATACAACAGAGACTATCCAGAACCGTGCCTGATCCTAACCCATTCAGGCATAGAACTACTGTAGACAGTTCTGGATATGATAGCCGGAGACGATCCAGAACCCTGTCCTTTCATATAATTGTCAGTGTATCTATATTTGTTCTGTTTCCTGTATGTCATGTAGTGTTGTATTAACATAGGATCACAGAAAGGGTAGTAACTAAGTTTAAAAAGTCATCCCCGCAACCATTAGCATGGCCATGGTCGCATATGGCAGCGCCCATCTCCGTTTCTATAGCCCTTGGGCCACACAATGCAATCACTACAGCAGGGGGCTAGTCCACTGGTAGTGGTGTGTGTTTAACTCCCGTACTCTTTCTCACTCTTTCCCAAATGCCAAGTGCTAATATAAGCAGAGAAAGGAGTATGCACCATTTCTAAAGTATTTGGTATGACTCGACCGGGGATCAAACTCACAACCTACCGAATACAAGGCAAGGCGAGCACTCTACCCACTTGGCCATTGCACCGGTAAGAGTAGCAACTACGTATGCTAAATGTGGATGTAAATAGAAATAAACTCAAACTAGCTAGACAGCCCCCCCCCCATCTCCACACACAGGTGCGCCTCACTGGTCTCCATCTATCACTATACCCCACCCACGTACGCCTGACCTCTGACCTCGGGTCATTATTGGGATAATCACCGACCTTCATGACGCAGCTCCGGGACTGAACATGATTAATGACTTCCGCTTTACCAGGGATACTGTTCATTTATTTATTCTATCTTGTTAACATTCACTTAATGAGATACAGAATAAAAAAAATAGCAAGAAGCACTCTTGCCAAAACATAGCGTTACATTAAAATAGGAACACAATTATTTTATTTAATTTGTAATTATGTAAGCATTTTGTTATTGTGTTTTACTCTTGTTTTATATTTATGTTCTAGAGTAGAAGGCGTTATATAACCAATTGTGCTTTTGAAGTATATGTTTTTAAAATTTTTGGTGTAATATACTCGTTAGATACATGTGAAAGAAAGAACACAGTTCCACGTACAGTAATATTATTATACAAGAGGGATAAAGGAAAGCAATGGGCGTTTCAACCAGTCCGATAGTTTGCACATTTAACATTGAACAGAGACCTATAGTAGCAACGATATCAAGATGAAAAGGTCTTCAGATAGATCAGGAAAGACGTTGATGATCAGCAGATAAGAAGCCTCATCAGGACTCTTTAAGATAAAACAAGATCAGTCCCAGACGCCTTA